AGTCAAAACTTTTAAAAAGATGTTGCCATAAGCTCAAAAAGTACCTGAAAACCTTCTTTTTGTATGCTAGTTTGATATGTAAGACAAGGGATAGTATTGCTTATTTGAATGTAAATCAACAAAAGATATCTTCTGATGCAGGCAAGGCCAATGTTCTAAATCAGTTCTTTATCAGCGTCTTCACAGGTGATGACTTGAACAGTATTCCAGCTATTGAGGAGCGATGAGTGAGCTGGCAGTTAACTAGTTTTGAGATACATGAAAAGGAGGTTCTCAAGCATCTGGTCTCCCTGAATCCCAACAAGTTATCAGGTTCAGATGGATTCCACCCTTGATTACTCGATGAATTAGCAACCGTCCTGGCCGGCCCTTCAATAGTATTCTTTTGAAAGAACCTAAATCAAAAGGACTTTGCCAGCCAACTGGTAGGAAGCCCAAGTGACACCCCTGTTCAAAAGAGGTGACAGAAGTAACCCCGGTAACTACTGTCCTGTCAGTCTCACAAGCGTTGGTTGTGAGGGATAGGATTATTGACCACTTGACTGTTAACCATCTTTTATCAGACTGTCAGCATGGCATTTTTGGTGGCAGATCATGCACCACTAATCTCCTGTCTACCTTGAATAATTGGACTCATCTGCTGGACAAAAGGGTGCCAGTGGATGCAGTGTACCTCGATTTTGCCTAGGCATTTGAGAGTGTTCCGCATGAGGGACTGTTACATAAAGTGAATTCTATGAGAAAGAGGGAAATGTACTCCAATGGATCAGGAATTTCCTAGTAGGCAGAAGACGTGTCAGAATTAACGGAATCTTATCAGACTGGGCAACTGTGCACAGTGGCATACCGCAAATGAGCGTTCTTGAGCCTGTTCTGTTTGTCACTTTTATAAATGATCTACCAGACGTAGTGTAAAGCGTGTGCTCCATGTATGCCGATGACAAAAGTATAATACAGTTAAGGATGCATCAAATTAAAATGCAACTGCAAAATGATCTTGATAGTTTAGTTGACTGGGCCAATGCATGGCAGCTGCAATTCAATGCTGACCACTTTACCTTGGCAATAACAATGAACAGCAAGTTTGCAGCATGAGAAGACATGGTTGCAACGAGAGGGTTACGATTGAGAAGTCGTGCATGGAAAAAGATCTTTAAATTTTTGTTGACCAGAAGCTAAAATTTTCTAGGCATACTGAAGTGCATGTTAATAAATCCAATAAGCTGCTTGAGCTGATCAGACACTCCTATGAGTACCTAGATGTAGAAATGATGAAGCTGTTGTTCACCTCAAGTGCAGCTGAACCTAGAGTTTGGAAACATTGTGTGGTAACCAAGACTTAAAAAGGATGATAATTTAGTAAAGAGTGTTCAAAGGCCTTCAACAAGGATAATTCCTGGCTCAAAGGGCAAGTCTTATGAAGATTATGAAGCTTCCCAGTCTCTGTTATTGTCGGCTGCATGGTGACCTAATTGAAGTATACATGTGTACTCATGGTTTGTTCAAGGTCCCAGGATTACCAGGATGTAAAGCAAGAACAAACACTAGAGCCACAGCTATAAACTAAAAAAAACTGCAGTGCAACTCATCCATGCAATGACACATCTTCTTGCTTCGAGTCACCAACATGTGGAACAGCCTCACTAAAGATATTGTTGATGCTCCGAGTATGAACACGTTCAAGAACAGACTAGACAAGGCCATGCAGGAGAATATGTATAGTCTTGAAATGCGTTGTATCCTACGTAACAACTGAAATCTTGAAACGATTTTAAACCTACCATCCATTGAAAAGATTTGATCAAAAGACAAGTTTAGTCAAGAAATGTGCAAGAATCAGTGACAGGCATATTCTTCAATGCCAAAGATACTATACTACTACAATAGTTATTTATAGTGCTGGATTTTTCTGTTGGTTATGTTGCCATCTTGTGCAAACCGAGTGTTAGTGTTAAAACATGTGTAATAATAAAGCCAAATTTCTTTAATAGACTTTATAAGATAGTGAACTCTCCAAAGTGCATTTGCATAAAATTTCTTGCAGTATGGTACCACTGTGTTATTTATTTTTCAAAATAATACTTTATTTCCAGTATTTTTTGTATGTAGGCCAATAACTGATTTCATTTGTTTGGCTTGAAGTCTGTTACCATACACAACACCATACCATCAACTGCAGTGACTTCGGCCAAATTACACTAGTTTCTGCCAATCAAATTCCTACAAAATAGGAATGAGGCATTGCTGGTGATTGTAAATTTGTAAATATATTACTGAAAGGTTCTTCTTTGAATGTCATGTCTAAATTATGTCACTTTTATTGTTTAATAATTTTGTTTTAAATTAGCTGAGTGGCCGATGTCACCCTGCAATGGGGTGACTTTGGCCACATGTGTTAAAACACAGTAAAAACATAGTAAAATGATTTCGTGGCCAAATTCAACCATTAGCAAGGTGACATCGGCCATGTAGGGTGTTTTAAAAAATTATAATCAATACCACTGTCAGGGTTGGCAATGATTAAATCAAAATGATTAAATCATGTGATTTAACAACATGTGTGATCATCATGTTTCAACAAACCATCAAATTTTTATCACAGCTAATTTCAATCATCTTGATTAGTTATGAAGTTCTTGCTTGAACTTTTTATCTTAATTGTTCTCAAGAACAAGAAATATTTAATTTTATTGTTATCAATCATACTCTCATAATAAGACTAATAATAATATAAGACTCATAATGAAAAGATTTTAGAATTCCTTGTAGAATTTTAATTAGTCATTGCTTTACTTTATGTTTGAAAAGTTTATTGTTAGAATTCTTGCTTGCCTGTCCTATTATTCTATCCTCAGTTCCCATGATTTACCATTTAATTTATCATGCAACCTTTTGTTAATGGAAACCCAATATGAGTTAATTTGCACATGGAAAATTTTGAAACCCCTAATCAACCTTGCACAACAATGCTTGTATTATATGCAGTAGTATCTTGAAAGTTGATCTTAATATGTTAACAGAACTTAGAACACTAGCTAATTAGCAATGAGCATAAAATTAGCAAAACTGCAACATTTTTTTAAAGTAATGTCGAGGCAACATTCAAGTTTTTGGCCAGTTTTGAGTCGGAATTTTGTCCCAATTTGGCTTTGAGTTCTGAGTACTAATATGGTAAACTACAGGGCTATTCTAAATGATGGACCATTGTAATAAATTTGTATTTATTCAAGTATAAATTCAAAATGAATAATTTATACACCAACATGAAGAAAAAATTGATAAGTTTTTGCTCATTTATAAATGTTCAAAATTTCCCCTTCTGCTGTATGACAAACATCTGAACGGCAGACAAACTTGTCCTACGCACAAGAAAGCATATCTTTGTTACTGAGTGCACTGTAGCAGTGATAAGGTTCTTCAGATCAACAAGAGTTGCTGGTTAATGCGGGATATAAACCGAGTTGCTGGTAGAGGTGGGACTGACGTAAAGAGAGTTGCTGGTAGAGGTGGGACTGACATAAAGAGAGTTGCTGAAAGATGCGGGACATACAAAGAGTTGCTGGTAGTTAGGATGTAAACAGCTTCCTTGACGTTATCCCATAAGAAATAGTCACGTGGGGTGAGATCAGGTGATCTCAGTGGCTTCAGATCAAACAGAGTTGCTGGTAGAGGCAGGACGTAAACAGAGTTGCTGGTGGAGGAGGGACATAAACAGCTTCCTTGTTGTAACCCCATAAGATATAGTCACATGGGGCGAGTCAGGTGATCTTGGTGGCCAGAACCCAGAAGTGTGGAGCCTGATCTTCATTTCCTATGCGTCTTACCCAATGCTCAGGAAATGACTGACCCAAAAAGATTTGGATGCCAACTAATTCATTTAAAAGGAAATTATTAATTTTTTATTTATACTTAGATGATGGACCTAATTTAATAAACCTGTATAAATTTAATCAAGTATAAATTAAAAATGAATACCAAATGCACCAAAGGAAAGGGAAAGATTCAAAAAGTTTTTCAACCTATTCAAACTTCTAATTGGCTGTTTAAAAAGGTTAAAATTGGCATCTTGATTTTTGAAACTTTCTGAATTGATGATTTCCTGAGCATTGGGTATTACACATAGGAAATGAAGATCTGGCTCTACATTTCTGGCCACCAAGATCGTCTGACCTCACCCCATGTGACTATTTATTATGGGGTCAAGGAAGCTGTTTATGTCTCACCTCTACCAGCAACTCTGTTTGTCCCACCTCTACCAGCAACTCTGTTTACGTCCCGTCTCTACCAGCAACTCTGTTTACGTCCCGCCTCCACCAGCAACTCTGTTTATGTCCTGCCTCTACCAGCAAATCTGTTTACGTCCTGCCTCTACCAGCAACGCTGTTTACGTCCCGCCTCCACCAGCAACTCTGTTTACGTCCCGCCTCCACCAGCAACTCTGTTTACGTCCCGCCTCTACCAGCAACTCTGTTTACGTCCCGTCTCGATCTACCAGCAACTCTGTTTACGTCCCGCCTCTACCAGCAACTCTGTTTACGTCCCGCCTTTACCAGCAACTCTTGTTGATCTGAAGAACCGTATCACTGCTATGGTGCACTAGTAACAAAGATATGCTTTCTCGTGTGTGGGACGAGTTTGGCTACCATTTAAATGTTTGCCATGCAGTGCAATGGGACATATTAAACATTTATAAATATGTAAAAAAAACTTTGAATCTGTCTCTTTCCATTGGTGAATAAATTATTCATTTTCAATTTATACTTTAATACAAATTTATTAAATTAGGTCTATCATTTAGAATAACCCTGTACTATGGATCTTTTGTATATTTTACGCTTAATTGTACAAAAATGTTCAGCAAATGCATTGTATTACAGTCAAGGGAGGAGTTATGGAAACCGTGGATGTGGCCAACCAAACTACAGAGATTCTGGCAGTGCTGTACACAACTACAGTGATGATGGCTATGGTATGCCTAACAGCCATCAGAATAGTGGTTATGGTGTGTCCAGCAGCCATCAGAATATTGGGTATGGTGTGCCCAACAGCCATCAGAATTATGGGTATGGTGTGCCGAGCAGCCAGCAGAATGGCAGGTATGAAGCGCACTCTGGCCGTCTTGGCAGCCTTGATGCCCTGAACTTCAGCGCCAGTGGAAGAGGTTCTTCTAGAGAAGATGGATTGCCCAGTCTTATGGACTTAAGTTTTGATACTGGTCAGAGACGTCCACGTGGAAGAAGCCATGCTCGGGGAAGAGGCAACTGGAAACAACAAGAATTTGGTGGGAGGTATGTAAACTAATCAGTTTTAAATCTATGCATGAAATTTGACTTGGGAATTAAATCTATGCCTTACCCAACATTAACCAGTTTGGACACTGTAACCGGGCACACTAGCGGGCGGAACAAACTCGTTGTTCACTTACTGAATTTTACTCTTATAGTGCTTGTCACAGAAAACAGGAATTAATGAATTACTTAGGGATTTGCTTTTATTTCAGTATTTATTTTCATTTATTAAAAGAGAAGCCAATATGTTAAAAATTGTATACAATAAGAATAATTTGCCAAACTCATAATTAGAATTGAATCACTAAACAAGCAAATTTAGGACTATGGAACTATAAAACTATGGAATATGAAACTAAGGAATATGAAACAATGGGTGGAGTGAAACACACAGCAACTGAAACAAACAAATGAACATAAATATACATGCAATAAGAGACATAATAATTTATTTGCTATGTGAGGGAATTTAGTGAATTAATTTGACTTTAAACATGAACAACAAAATAGGAGTGAATTAAGGAATATATTATCGAGTTTAAACAGTCAAGAGCAAATGCAAGTGCAGATCTTTCAAGTGCAAAAATGATTTAAGAAAACAAAGTAATTATTGCAAGCACAGGCATCACACTAAAAGTTAATCAAGCTGATAGATATGAAAAGAACCATTGTAACAATAAATGACAATAGATTGAATAAGAACCAAAATGCATAAAACAATTAGCCTAAAATATGTACATTAGACATAATTGATAATTAAATAATTGATAATTAAAGTGCAGACTAAACAGCCAACTCACCAACTGGTGATGGCGGTGCGAGTTTCAGGATTGTCTGATAACTCAAGATAAATTTATTGTGCATGCATTAATTTAGGTTTATGGGGTCGTTCAATACCTGAAACGAGACAAAAAAACATAGGGCGACATTAGACACAAATGCATGAAATAATATTAGTTTGCATGATAAGCATGAAAAACGACAAATAATAACCATGTTTGTAATAAGTTAAAACAATAAATGATTGAAATAGAAAATTATATAATTGTGAGCTGAAACACATGAGCTTGGTCTGCCCTAAGATTACCCCCGGTAACAACACCACTGAAGGACAATAAAATCATCATTATTCTTATGTTTGAATGCTAATTCTTAGCTCATTGCCAAAATCCTGATTTATTCTTTTCATCAATACTGGAGTCACCAACAGAAACTTGTCTCCTAAACTTTTGTAATCAGATAGTACCACTTGAAGGTTACTGTCACTGTGTACCATGCGGTTCGAATTAATATCCAGATAATATATTGTGGAATGAAAGAGTGACACTCTAAGATAGTAGTTATTTAAGTATATAAGGACTACAGGATGAGGCATTATCACTGTAGTTGAGAAGGTGGACTTGACGACACGAACGCGAGTAGGACAAGCAAGTGCTGGAGCTGATAGACGTGGTGGATGCATCTAAGGTTAGGCTGGGATGGGCTGCAGCTAAGAGGTGTTGTTCTATGACTGACTGGTGGTAAGCTGGAAGAGCTTATATATAGACTTACTACAATGACGTCATAGAAGATGACGTGAGAGATACTACTGACAGCATGGGTGATGACATATGAATTAAGTTGCCTGACATGAAATACTTACTGTAGTCTGGAAGAATTTAATAGAACAATTGGTATTTTAGAATTCAGTTGTTAGTAACGTCCATACTAGTCCATTCAAACCTCTACTTTAGGCTAGTAATGATGTGAGAATATTGTATTTGGTTTGAATATTAAAGTGAAATGAATTTTTTCTGGAATTTATATCTACTGGAACCAGAATTCAACAAGATTCTTATGGAAGGATTTAACTTTTCATCATTAATTTGTATAATTTTCTTATTTCAGAGGACGCCCTCAAACACATCAGGAGAACAACAACGGCGACAGAGACGAAGAAAGGGAACACACGGTATGTCACAATGCAAAGAGACTTTATCCTGTTGGAATCAATGTTCTGAAAGGGTGGACTACTCAGCCACCAGATCTGGTCATCCACTCACTGCTAAGTGACAGGTCTGGAGTGCCTCAACTGTTGGCTGAGCCGAAAATCCCTGATGATAAATTAGTTCTTTTCATCAAGGTGCTCGCCAGAGCCTCCACTTGCACCAGTTGTCGGCAGAGTCTGATTGAAATTTTCACAATGATATTCACTGAGGATTTTGTGAATAAGCTCGTTACATTTCACATTTCATTGATGACAAGCCAGAGGACGGACGTGAAAAGCTTCCTTGAAGATCAACTACAATTACTGAAAGTACTGAAAAAAACTCTCATTAACCAAGCCAAGGAGATGCTGCCTACTTTACTGCAAACTGTCATGCTCGTCATTCCTAAGCTGAAAAATCAATCCGAGTTAAACGAGCTAATGACTGAGTATGAGCAGCTCCTGGCATTGCTCCTCGAGAGTCAGAAGCCGGGGCCTGACGTCGGCGAGCGGAAGCGACGTCCTTTTGCTGATCGCCTCGCAGACCTCGATGATCTGGAACCTGAGGACGACTACAGGGACATACCCATTGAGCCTACCGACGATGAGCTGCTGCAGCTCGAAGCTCCTCTCATAAGGAGGAATATCACTGAGGGGGCCTACAGAGATGTGCACAATTATCTCGATGTGCAGTTTAGGCTTCTACGCGAAGACTTCATTCGCCCCCTGCGTGAAGGCATCCGCCAAGTGAAATCTGGTCTGAAGGGGGTAAAGGATGTTCGAGTGTATCGGAAAGTCAAATTTCAGGATACCCAGATTGTGCGTGGTAAACTTGTGCATTTTGTGAAGCTCAATTTCCCAAAGAATTTCAAAGTCGAATTCTCAAAGCGACTGCTGTTTGGCAACGTAATGTGCTTCAGTGCCAATAAATTTGCCTCTTCATTTCTGGCAACCGTTGCAGGCCATGACCCTGACAAACTGAAGCAGGGAATTGTTGGCGTAAAGCTGCTTACAGTGTCAAAACTCGACGCTAGTCTTGAGTACACAGCTGTTGAGTCGAGGACTTTCTTCATCGCGTACAAGCACGTGCTCAGAGCTCTTCAATTCATGGACGAAAATACCCTCCCGCTTGTTGAGCACATTGTCTTCGCTGAAAAAACTGTCCAACCTCCTCAGTATGTGATGAACGCGGCCAATGTGCACTACGATCTGCGCGTTGTTCTGCAAAACAACTACATGAAAGCTCAGGATAAAGCTGATATTTTCCCGAAATCAAACACCATTCCACCACCAAACGATCGGCCGGATCTTCAGCACATTCCCATAACGAACGCTGAGGTAGATGTGTGGCCGAGATCGTCCGACTTTGGTCTGGATCGATCCCAACGCAAAGCACTGCACTCAGCGCTCACAAAACGGCTGGTTGTGATTCAAGGCCCACCAGGAACCGGCAAAACTTATTTAGGTTTGAAAATCACGCAAGTTCTGCTTCACAATTCGCAGGCATGGTCTAGGAAAGAAACTGAATTCCGAATAGTCCGTGGGCATCAAAATCGAAGGCTGGTGCAAACAGACGATGTAGACGTGTCATCGCCCATTCTCGTCATTTGCTACACAAACCACGCCCTGGATCAGTTTTTGGAAGGCATGCTCAACTTCACTAATAGAATCATCCGCATTGGCAGCAGAAGCAAGAGTGAACGCATCCAGAGCTACCAAATCAATGAGTTTCTTTTAAAATTGAAGAAGCAACGCATACTCCCTCCAAACATCCATCATGCCAAGTCTGATGTGCACAATAAAGTCCTTGCTGCCGAAGCGAAGCTGAAAAGTCAATATGCGCAACTGCAAGAAGTTGTCCGTGATTTAGGACTTCTTAGCTTTGGCTTGCTCAATTTGTACGGCGTCATCCCTTCCAGCATCGTAAGCAAGTTGGAACGCGGTCAACTTTACCGCTCCTGGATGCTGCCAATCGATCAAATGTGGTGCATGAACCTAAAGTATGATCCTCGCCAGGTTTGGTCAAAGCCTGTGCAAGTGCATGGCGATCCTAAACTGGAATCTTCAGCCGCAGATGACAAAGAAGACGACGAAGAATGGCATGATGCTTTGGAAATGCTGAGGGAGGCTGAGAATGAGCGCATCATTGATGTTGAGGAAGATGACCTCCCAACTGGAACTGCTTTGATTTTACCTCGAGTAAAATCATATGAATTTGAGAGAATCAATCCTATAGAGTTTGAAACCTCACTATTTCGTCATTTAAAAGCTGGCCTCATAACAAAAGAGGCTTGTGAGATCACCTTGAAGAAATTCTACAAAGAGCAGCGAATTTTAGGCGAACTTCTTCATTTTACGTCTTCAACAGATGTCTCATCCGTGGCTAATGCGACCATCAATGAAGATTTCGACATCTTTCAGTTGGCTTACAATGATCGGTGCTTGCTTTATTGCCTATGGAGGCACAAGCTTTTGGCTAAAATGCGCGAGACCATCCGCCCTCACGAGGCCAACATACAGAGGCTCATGGCGAGGGCGCAAGAGGTGAAGAACTCCGAGTATCTGCACGTGGCGCGTCAGGCAGACGTTGTGGGCCTCACCACCACGGGAGCTGCGCAGTTCCAGGACGTCGTCCAGGAACTCAAGCCCAGGATAGGCGAGCTTTAAACTATGAGCACTTGAATAGTATTACCTGCACCTTATGTTCTTATTGAAAGATTAATGATTTGCTGCACTTCGGGTATCACCAGGGGGGAAGGGTGGGTCGGTTAATATGCAAGCTCTATAATGAAGTTCTTTCTCACTTTGTTTATCTCTATTCAGTAATTTATAAGACGGTCATGACCCTTGTATTGATGCCTAATTACACGTTATTCCCGTGATTTGTATCGTTTTAGCTGTAAGAGATTTTTTGACTAGTAAATAAAACTACGATCCTTATTTTATGTTGCGTTTCAGTGATCATTGAAGAGGCTGCCGAGATATTAGAGGCTCACGTCATAGCTTCTCTCAACGCCAACTGCGAGCACCTCATCTTGATCGGTGAGATTACACAACAAACGTGCGCGTTTTCTTACTTACATTACTTGTGAAAAGCATCTGCTACTCCTAATGCTTTTAGTTAGAGACCTTCTGTGCGAACACTCAAGATCAGATTCCGATACCATCGTATTGGTGCTTGCCCAACTATAACAACACAATTGTGGAAGAGAACCTACAAGTCAAATTTATTCTAAAATATCTAGTGAATCTTTGACTGAATTTTTTAAAATGGTTCACAATGGTTTAACAGTGTGAATTTGTTGCAATAATGAATAAGGCAGCAGGACGAAATGGGTACACTCCTCTCAGTGTACTCAATTTGCAATAATGGCAATTGTCATCTTGTAAATTTTTGACCGCCGTGAACAGAGTAAGGTTGTTTATTTGTGGCTTTCATATTCACTCTCAATCAGTATTGTTTCAGTTATTCAAGTGACTTCTATTTGAATTGTGCAGGCGACCACCAGCAGCTGAAGCCAAGCCCCGCAGTTTACCAGCTTGCCAAGCACTACGGGCTCGACACGTCGCTCTTCGAGCGGATGATCAACAACGGAGTCGCGTGAGTGGTAGCTTTAATAAGAATATTCCAGTACTTTTGAGGAAATCCCGCAAGCAATCTTGTTTGCGAGCCACTTTTTAACCAATTAATGGGTATTTCGTACTTTTTATAGGTCCATGATAAGACATAATACTAAGCCGATGAGCTGAACTCATCTCAGCTAACAACTTGTAATCTGCCAAAATAAATAAAGCGAGTGGAAGATGATGTATGACTTACAGGTTTCATTTCGAAATCGTCATTTCTACTGCGCAGTAGTATTGACTGGTCATGATGCTACTCCGTCCTCTTTCCTTGTAACATTTCTTACAATTAAATATGCAAATCTGAATCAGTACTCAGAAACAATCTCATGGAAGACTCCACAGTCATCTTGATTCCCTGTAGTCAAAGTTGAGACGTGTATATGTCTATTAGGTGGTGCCGTGTATATGTTCCTAACACCAACTCATTTTATTCAGGTACGAGACCCTGAAGTATCAGCACCGCATGCGTCCTGAGATTTCATCTCTCCTGGTCCCTGCCATCTACCCGGAACTCAAGGATCATCCGTCAGTGCAAGGCCGAGATCACATTCGGGGGGTCGAGAGGAGCGTCTTCTTTGTGTCTCACCTCGAGAAGGAGCTAGCAGTACGATGCAAAATTTAGTTGTATTGTTAAAAATGGCATTATGTGTTTGGTATTCGTGGGTAATCCTGCGCATATCTCATTCTACATCTAGCTCAAGATTACATCTATTGCATGGCCTCTGAGAAGCCACGATTTTTGTGGCTGCCGCAAAGGGGTTTCCTGATGCGGGTCTTTATCCTTATATATACAGCTTGATAGCTGTTGTGCTCACAATCGTCAGATCCATCTCGCTGTCTATACTTTAGAAATTGGGCTAAGTAATCTTCTACGCAAGTAAACTGTTCAATTAATGTAATTTGATCTTCCACAGGAAACCGATGATAACAACAGCCACAGCAACGTCCACGAAGCAGAGTTCATCGTGCGTCTGGCTCGTCACCTCGTCCTGCAAGGCTACGACCCTGAGCAGATCACCGTCCTCACGCCCTACTCCGGCCAGTTCTTCCTGCTTCGTAAAGTAAGTGAGGCTACGACCCTGAGCAGAT